ATGTCAGAGCTGCTGAGTGACTAGTAATAATTTGGAGAGTTAGTGCAGTTGACTTGTTCTTGCATAATTTACAGCTTGTAACTAACATGAAATAGAGAATTTACTGAAAATGCTTTCTTCTCCCCACACCCCATCACTAAAGGTACAGAGTACCTTTGGATGCTTCCTACCTGTCATTATCACTTGAGGGGATTCATCAAACCAGTCACTCCTTATTATGTATTGAAATAAATATCTTGTTTGAATAAAGGGTGTGTCCAGGTTTCTTTTTCATCCCTCAAAGGAAACTTGTTATTACTGTATTGTTTCTGGTATTTCAGGAAACCCAGAGAAATGCCCAGACAAGTTCTTGTTGAAGATCAAGTTGAGCAGTTTCTTAACAGTCAAAACACTTTTAACAGTTGGGTTTCACCTGAGTGGTTGCAGCATCTTGAGTTTTCAGCTTTGGAAGGATTGATGCAACAAAGAATGTTGGACCTTTTTTCCTGTTAGCTGCATATAGTGTATCAGTCTCTGTTTTTTGTTAAAACTACAGGTCTTCAGTCATGATTCCTAAGCCACAGCAATCTTAAAAGGAGGGATCTCACCTGAGGTCAAGCAGCCACACCAGCCTGTGTAGGTGGCCCAGATGCTCCATTTCAAAGTTGTAATTACTTCCCCAACTTAACTCGGATGCCTTTTCCTTTCCTTTATCCCAGCCTTTGACAACCCTTTGGAAAAGTTCACCAAAAGTTATATTTGGTTTTCCTAAATCAAGAAATGCTTACCACTCAGCCTGAGGTCAGACTATGTTGAACAGGGTTAAATGTTGAATAAGCAGGCTGTCTCACCCTGACTACCTGCTCTGCCATCTCGTATCTGCAGCGTGTTAAACACCACCTTCCCTGCATCCTGCAGGGAAGGACATAGAGCAGCACTTGGTGTCCCTGCAGGGTCCTGCTGGTTCCCCCTGCACATGTGCATGTCGGGGTTGGAGCAAAGAAGACCTCTCTTGGTAAGGGGGAGAGGCAGAGTTACTGCTTAGCAAAGTATTTGTGTGAAGATGGGATGGAGATGAATTTTGAGACTGAAGGTGTTTTCATACAACAGATCCTTGCTGGTTTTGTGAGCTATTTGTGAAAGACTTGCACTCTGGGAGAGCTTTTAGCTCTGAAGTGAAACAAATGTAACCCGTGTTCATCTTATCCCCTGTCCTTCCCCAGCTGCTGAGGTAATTCCAAATTGATGTATTTGAGAAAAGGCTACAATTTAAAACATTGTCTTCCCCAAACAAATGCATTAAGACATGATAATCCTTTAGAGGCATATCTATGGATTGTTGCTGCATCTTGCCGGCCAACCGCAGCTTACTTTGCAAGTAAAGGCTGAAAAAGGGGAGACAATTCTTTGTTGAACAGAGGACATAATTATTTAATATCCAAAGCAAGTTTCTTAAAGACCTCTGCAAATGTCAAACTGCAGATTTCAAATGAAGGTTAGGAATTTGAAAGCAGAATGAGCATAGTGAACCAGCCATTCAAAGCTGAAGAGGGAAATAGTTGCTTCTAAAAGGAGGCAAAAGCCTTACAGAAGAGGCAGAAAATATTAAGAACTAGAGAAACAAGCAGCATGTAGGCATTGCCAACTGGTGTGAAAGAAGAGAGTCCTCTGGGCACAGTACTTGTTAAGGGAAATAGAAAAAATAAAGGAACATAATTCAACAAAGAAAGCTCAGGAGCTGTGCCAGAGCCTGGTTGACAATAGAAGTAAACTAGACCTCATAAAACCAGACAATGCTGTAAAGATCGTCAGATTTGCAAAACAACGCTATTATGAAAAAGACAAAAGCAGTGGGCTATTGCTAACATTTAAAAAATAAACAACATGTAAAATAGTCTCTTCAGTCTCCAGAGGGGCCAGCCAAAGGATATCCACGAGACAATTTGCTGTGTATCTTGCAGGATGTTAATACTGCTTGGAGACAAAAGTGTTTTATTTCAGCCACCTAAACCATACCAACAGAGCAAATGTTCTGCATGAAAGGCATTAAAAGTTAGTTTAATTATGGAGAATATTAAAATTAGTATACTTGAAATCCTTAGACCTCTGTCTCTCCTGCCGAATTTTTATAAATATGTATAAAAGGAATCTGGAGTGAACAGACGGACCCACGGTTGGGTCAACTTCTTAATGAGACACGGAAAGAAGAACAGGCCCTGGCATCTAGATATAGCAGTATTGAAATATGGAGAACACCTACTCAGCTTCATCACATGTACCACATCTGTTTATTAAATCAAATTCTTTCCTTTGTTCTTATAAACAAACCCAATACTCCTGTCTCCTTACCCCAGCAGAGCTCCAGCCAAGTCACTTTAACAGGAAGCTGAGAGAGATCAGCATTCATGACTCGTTTTTCAAGCCGAATATGCAAAACAACCCACCTCACAACTAACATTAGAAGATGAAAAACTGATAACGTGATCTGGCAGTTCTCAAAAGGGATCTTAAAAAACTTCTGGCTAAGTCCCAGGTTTAGGAATTAAATATTTATCCAGAGTCAAGTCCAAATCCTGCAGTAAAAATTAACAGGGCCCTATAAGCAAGTTTCTCATTTTCATATGGGGGCTTTCTCCATCACCTCTCATCTTTACTGTGGTTGTACAGTATTCATATAGACAGCCCAGGGACATCCATGAATCTTGGATGGAATGGACAGACAAGATGGGGAGCACATTAATGAGTTTTAAAAGTAAACAGAGAAAGTATTTTTGTCACCTCAATTGCAAATGGAAAATACTGAGTAGATTAAATACAGTTTTCAGATGAAGTCTGACGTTTACAGATGCTGACTGGGTTTAGTCTTCTAATGTCTATAAATTCTCACAATATATGTATTTGAAATAACGGTGAGTTAATGGAGAACAAACCTACCAGGCACTACTGTGTCTATAGCCAGGGCATCTAAGCAGGAATGCCACAAGCCAAAAATGCAGAGAGCCTGGGAGACTGTCCTGTCTCTGGCTTTACAACATGAAAGAAAATAAGAGGACTGATGTATGGAAGTGCATGGGAAAAGAGTACATGAAAACAGATGTTACTTCTCTAAAGAAAACGTAAAAACAGATGAAAGCGTATCTCTCATCAGTCAAAACTTAAAGAATTTTCTTGACCCCGAATCAGTTTTGTTTTCTAAGCATCACTAGTTGTCCCCTTAGCCAGCTTTCTGGAAGACCATCGATGTAAAATAAATTGATTAGGGGGAAAATGGGAATTTGAAGTTAAAAAGGCCTCTCTGCAAAAACCTGGCAAAATGTAGAGAGATGCTGCTTAACCAAACCCAGTATTATTAGGTAAATCAAATCAGAGGGATGCTTTTACACTGGTCATTTTAAACATAGTAAACACCAAAAAGGGTGGATTAACACCTTTCCTAAAACCAGGCTGTGCACATCTCTAGTTCTTTCAGGGAGTACAGAACCTCTGAGTCAAACTGATGTCTGATCAGTTTCTCGAAGAGCTGCAGTTTAGGGGTGAGATAATGCTTACACTTTTTCCTGAACCCTCCCTCTCAGCACTTATTTCTGTATTTGGTAGCATGGAAATAAACTCTGCTAGATCCCAGGCAAGTCTGAGGACCTGACAGTGTAGTGCTGATATGGTATTACCTAAATTATTGAGAAGAAATATATTGAAGTGCTTTGCAAGGCTTCCTCAGTTTGCAACAAAAAGCAAGTGAATGATTTGTAGTATTAATAAAATTCTGCCTGCCCCTGGCCTATTTTTTTCTAACAAATCTTTGAAAAAAATTTATAAACTTTTGGAAAACATTCCTTCCTTGAGTATATACTCATTCTTTATTCTTTAAGGAATTAATCCTAGGCTCCCTTTATTTTGAACTACTCACAGGAATCTCTTGGTACGCCAGAACTGCTCTTGGCAGGATATAACCATAGCCCGGCAGCTTTTTTGATTTATTGCTTAATAGTAGAAACTTGTCTTTAGACACTGAATGCTGGTTTCTTAAGTTGATTGCTTCTGAATTTCTTGCTTTATAGTTTGGACTATACAGCTCTGTGTGCCTAGACTATCTTGTATTTTATTTTATTGTATTGGTTTTGCTCGTGATGTATGATTTGTTTGTATAATTATCTGGAACGTATGTAGACTTGCTACTGGAGGAGACACTCATCCCTGATCCAGCTGATGTGTGGCTGCATGAATCAGCCATCTAAATTATACCTCCAGAGTAGATAGGTCACTGCCAATTGCTGTGAGGGAGAAAGCCAAAGAACACTTGTGAGAAAATATGTAGACAATCCTTGAGAGAAGAAAAGGACTAAAGCTTTCTCAGGTGTTTTATTTTGAAGATATGCAATGCTCCCTGTCTTTTCCCCGTTTCTCTCTCTCTCTCTCAAAAAAATATCTAAGTTAGCACTTTACTTCTCCCACTGCAACCTGACACAAAAGACCTTCTCAAATAAATCACTCGTGCAGTTGTCTGGTATGACACGGTGTCAGATGCTGTCTTTTTGATAAGTTCATTTCCTAAGCAATTTGTTTAACCCTTTTTATAGACATTGTTTTCTCTGACTAAGTCGTGAGTCATTTCTCAACACACGAGTACTCCAGGGAAATGTCACACTCGTTGCTTGTTTCTCTGCCTGCCTGGCTCCACCATATGATTTTTATGAGCCAAAAGGACAAGAGTTCCTCCTTTTGTTTGTCCCATTCTGCTGACAGCTGGCTGTTGTTGGCTCTGATTGAGCTACTCTATAGGCTGACCTTATAGTTGTTATAAGGCAAATTAAGTATTTGCAAAAAAGCCTTCCTTCCCTATGAATATCAAGCAAAATGAAAAAGCTTTTAGGAGCCTGTTATGATGAGTATCACTCATCAAATTTGTGTCATGATGTGAATGTAATTTCTTGTGTCTCAGAAGTCAGTTCTAAGTTGCCCTAAAGTGGCCACCACCACCACCACCAAGATGAGGTTGTCTAGGAAAAATCAAAGTGATAATTTTTCATCCCAAAGACTTGCTTTAGGACGCAAAAGCTGTCATTCACCTCAACAGAACAGATGGGCTGAGGGCTTGTAAAGGGTCATTTGGATTTTTTTTCCTCTGGGGAAAAATGTCTGTTTGCCATCTTACAAAAACTTCTTCTTTGCAGTTTATATTGCGAATAGACTCATAAGTTTGAATAAGTATATCCAAACTGCTTTGAATTTTCTGTATTATCTGTGCCTGAAGGCAGCTAGGGACGAGTGTTTGCACCCAGGTACAGTGACAGAAGGCAAGCACAAAGACTGTGGCAGTCTCAAAGGAACACTCCCCTCAGGAACTGACTTTCTGAGGAAGCAGCTAGGAGTCCTGGGCACGCCTGCTGTCACAAGAAAGGAGTGTCCCAAAGGCTGTTCCAAGAAACTGCAGTTGGTAGCTATAAAACTCTTATCTAATTCACTGGAAGCACAAGGCTGTTGTCTCCGTGTTCCGCTCCCTTCATCTTTCCCTTTCTCTCCCTCTTTTTTTTTGTTTTAAACTCTAGAGACTTGAACTGTATACTTCCATGGTCTAATGGTGTTTTTAAATGGAAAATTATTAGGAAATGCTGTAAGGGAAGTGTTACTATCTTGTAGTACAATTCAGCTTGTGGCAGGAAGGTCCTTGAAAACCAGGTGCTCTGTTTCTGATCTTAATCCTTTCTGACTGGCTGCTGTGCCACAATGGCATGAGCTGTGTGTGTTTGGAGGGTTTATCTCGGGGACCCTGCCTAGATCCCTCGGATTGCTTTTGAATGTAGTGTCATTTTCTCTAATGAGTTACTGCTGGTTGTAAGCATGCTGTACTTCAAAGGTCAAAAGGCATTAATCTTTCTCTTAAGGCTTATGTGATGAGAAATGTGGATGCTGGAATTGCTGCCATGCAGAGACAACTGGATCCTGGCCATTCCTTGTCAGGGCAGCTTTAGAGCTCATACCCATAAAGGACTGAAGCCAAAACCCTTTTGTCAACATTTGGATTGATACTGAAAGAGAATGAGTGTGTTATGAAATTCTTTGCTAATCATGAGACTTTTCCAGCCTAATTATGTCATCTGAACTTTTGAAATCTTCTTTGTTCTGTCTGTAGGGCCATACTGTGGTAATGTGATGCCAGTCCCCAAAGAAATAATTCTAGATAGCAATGAGGCAACTATTCACTTTGAGAGTGGGTCCCACGTGTCAGGACGAGGTTTTCTGTTGTCCTATGCCAGCAGTGATCATCCAGGTAAGGTGATATCCAAAAATAGTAGAAGATTAGTGGCATAGTTCCCCCTATTTAATTATCATCGCTACACGCATAGAGCTTTAGCCTAAATATTTTTTCCTAAATCTTTCCAGATTAGCATGTGCCATGGTATTTTTGACAGCATGTGTGCAAGAAACAGTTGTAACATTAGCCAGATATAATAGCTGCTGAAGACCTAGACCATTTTCAATACAGGGTCAACGGAGGGGAAAATAGCACCTTCTCCTTGAAACTCCACTGTGTTTTGAGCTCCAGCATCCATCACACTGTGATAGAGTGGAGGGGCAGGAGGGACTAAAGTTTTCATTCCCACATTTAACGTTCTGGAGGTCTGTTCAACTTTGAAGAAGTTGTAAAGCATAAGAAGAGTAGAAGATGGAGTTGAAAATAATGAAAGAAAACCATAGCTGTTGCTTCCAGTCTAATCAAATTGCTTAAATATTATACAAAGAGGTCTTTAAATGTAATTTCATGTTCTGGCAAATATTTGTCTGTATTTTTACATCCTACAATGGGAATTGACATTTGTAAACTTTTCACAGATCTAATCACCTGTTTGGAACGAGCAAATCACTACACAAAGGCTGAATTCAGGTAAAGAAGGTTTGCAGCTCTGCATTCTGGCTTGCTTTACAGTATCTGTCAACCGACTCAATTGTTAGAAAATGTTAAACAGTCTTGGTTTTCTGAAGAAATGAAATTTGTTGAGCCCCAGTGCTGTAGTGGTCTGAGGTCTGGTTGTGAGAAGCAGTAGTGCAGAATGGAAGACTGTGGCCCAGAAAAATGATGGAATGAAGTTGCAGAGCTCTCAGCAATACTCATTAAGTGCATACATATACATGGTATATGTAAAAAGAGTTTCCACTTTGAAATTCAAAGTAGCCTCAAATTCCAGTGCTTCCTTTAGGAGCAGATCACGTCCTAGCTGATACAAGATTATCTGAGGACAAGCTATAATTTCTCAGTTCCTTGAACTTTGTGATAGGTTTGAAATGGTAATAAATTGTGCTCTTCTGGCTGCTCTCTGGATGTGCATATAGGTTTCTTATTTTACTCTGAAAACTTGTGTGGTAGCATTTCTAGAACAAGAGAATTAAACAGAAATAAATGCCCTTGTTAAACTGCTTTTCTGGTTCTTTGTATGCTACTGTGTTCAGTCCACCTATGAACTCATGGGCCCATTTATTTATCTTAATGATGCTCACTAACGGAGCATCAGGGAGAAATGACTGCTAAGATATTTATTGGTTTGAGAGCATTTCTTTTATAGGAGTTTGTTTGTGTGTATTGTCACTGCAGTTCATGCCTTAAACAAGCCTTTCTTCTCTCACTACAGCAGATACTGTCCTGCTGGCTGCAGAGACATAGCAGGTGACATTTCTGGAAATATTGGAGAAGGATACAGAGATGTAAGTACACAGCATAATGGGGGGAATTTGTAAAAACAAAAGAAACAAGAATAGAACCACTTGGTTTCAACTTTTGCTGCTTGGCTTTCGTTAGTAATTCTTTTCTGCTGTTTTGCTATACCTTTTATTATCAGTATATAAGTAAGTTATCAGTATATAAGCACACAGAGACACTTTTCAAACAGACAAATCAATTGTGTGAGAACAAAGTCCACTGATTGTCAAATATACCTACTGACTTGTGGTTTCTGACTTTCTGGAGAAAGCCTGCCTAGTGTTTGTCCTTCTTGAGGCAGTGCTCATCCATGTACGAAATATTCCTATGATTTTAGCTTTTACTTGTTTGGTGTCCACATGTGAAAAAGATGCATTTCAGTAACATGTAGGTTTTCTTTAAGATTATGCCTGCGCTATCCTAGCGTATGCTCTGAGATGAAATAAATATTACACACTGCCTAACCACATCCCACTGGTAACTACCAACCTCCTGGGTTGTTTTAGCTTCTTGTTTTTAAACTGAAGAAGTTGAAGTGGTTGCATTTATTCACAGTTCATATCACTCAGAGCTCTGCCCTCTCTGTGCCCCTCACCCGGGACTCTTCTCCTGTCATGTCTGTGAAATCTTTACCTCTTTCACAGAGGAGTAAGCCTAATCATACCACTGAAGAAAAATCCTACCCTATCACAGTCACTGAGTTTCCAAAAAGTCATTGCTCACGTTTAACCTGTTCATCCAGTTATTCAAGCATGCTGGCTCCAGCCTGGAAAGTGGCAGAGCTGAAGAAACAAAGAAAAGCCACATTACATTCTCATTAGCTGGAGTTATTCTGCCCTTGGTTCCAATGATTAGGGCAGAAAAGCAGCACATGGCATGACCTCATGCAGATTTTATCTGCACTGAGGAATTTGCAAAAGAAATTTTCCCTCCACCATTAAGGAGGATTTTCTGATGGGAAGAACCTGCAGGGCTCACCTGGAGATGTGTTGCCTTTGTGCCTCCACTCTCCCCACCCCTCCCTGGAGGGAGCAGCCCAGCACCCCAGCTTGTCCAGTAGCACAGCCCAAACTGGGCCAGTGTGAACCTGACCAACCTCTGCCTGCAACCCCATGGAAAGTCTCTTTCTACCTTTCTCTGTCCCTTTCCTGCTTTGCCCTGGTCCTGTTATTGCCACCTAGCTGGCACATGAGTTGTCCTGCCTCTATTTTTCAGCACTATCCCACCCGAGATACCGGGAAATGGGCTGCACTTAAAACCCAGCAGCAGCTACTGAACACATAGCCAAATCCCCTAATGTACACCGTAACTCAAATCCTAAGGTGCAGTAATAGATAGGTCTGCCTTCAGGCAAGAGCACCAAGGAATTACTGAGTCATCTTCCCAAGGAAATGTTGCCTTGCCTTTGACTTTTTTCCCCTGAGGAGTGACAATCTTACAGCACCTTCTCAGAAGCAGATTGTTTGTTTTTTCATTTGAAAAGAAAAATTACTTGCTCTTTCTCCTTCCCTTTCCTCTTATTCCTCTTGAGCTTTTGCTGGATTTTGTGAGCTGTAACACCTGTATAGCGGTGCCTTGGAAGGGAAGGCCTTAGCAGTTTGTCAGATTGATTTCCTGCTGTGCCTTTCAGACGTCTCTGCTGTGCAAGTCTGCGATCCACGCCGGCGTGGTGGCGGACGAGCTGGGCGGGCAGATCAGCGTCACCCAGCACAAGGGCATCAGCCGCTACCAGGGCGTCGTCGCCAACGGTGTCCCCTCGCTCGAGTGAGTACCAGGGCTGGGGCTGGCACAGGGCCACTGCCCACCAACAGCACAAGCAGGTGGGGACACCGTTTTGGGGAGGAAAAGATGTTAGGTGTGTTTCTAGGGCAATGGAGATAGGAAGAGGTTCCAGGTTTTCGGTGGCGCTATACCATCTAGAGTGGTATTTTCTTTTTTTTTTTTTCCTTCTGTTCCTTCCAAAACACATTTGCAAATTACTTTGTTAGCAGATACATGAGAGTACGATGTTCTGCGATGAACAACTTTAATCGATGTGCTAATAAATCATGATAAATTCATGTTGAAGTTTGAAAAAAGCTAGGAAAAATAAGTAAAAAGTGCCATTGAGCCATAGGGGATTTAATGAACAACTTCTTAAACATTGTGCTTTTGACATGTTCAGAGTTTTTCTCTTTTAGAATATTTATAGCAAGGGTGTTATATTTACCGCTTATCTTCTGACTTTTAATTGTGCTGCTGTTGAAGTAGAAATAAATCCTCTAATCTCTATCCAGCACAGTAAGACCTTCCAGCAACTGCCTCTGTCATTCCTGTTGGTTTATAGTTTTTAATTTTCAAATGTTATCTGGATTTTACATGAGGCCTTTTTTTTCTTTTTTAAGAAGGGAAATTTCCATCCCAAAGCCTATGAGAGCTAAGGCAATATGTATTTATTGTACTATTTTCCTGTTTTCTCCATGATTTCTCACACCCTCCTGACAATTTTACAATCATGGTTTCATTCATTAAAAAAAAAAAAGCGCACTCCTGTGTTCTGTTACTGTGCTTAAACTTCAGCACAGACTGAAATGCTTTATATACAATGGCACTGGAGTATACAAAGCTGGATAGTATGTAAATCATAGCCAAAGAGCTGTACAGCCTAAATGTTTTCTATTTTTCTTGAAAGTTAGTTGCCAAAGAAAATTAGTATAAACTTATCCCAAGCAAAGCAGGACTGAGAACTCTGGTCAGGCACCAAGCCCCTCCATAAAACAAATAATACAAATTCTTTCCATCACACATGCCAGCTTAGTGAAACCCTAAATTAAATATTTTGTACCCTATCTAAAGATGTTACAGAACTGTTCACATATATTTGTATGCTTGTGACCCTTGATAATCCCAGTGGAGTAATTCGGACAGTAGCACATAAAATTATATAATGAAAGGGAGTTGTGATTCTCATTTGTGCTTTTTTTTTTCCCAGTACAAGAGCTAGTGGGCAAAGAATGAAGTGTATAGGACTGCAAGTGTACACATGCTGGGGGTGTTTAGCTCATTTAATGTGAGAGAGCACCCTAAGGAGGAGCAGAACCTCTGCCTATAGAGGCAGACAGAGTCACTCCTCAAGCATCTCCAAGGGACAGAATTGCCCTGAGGAGACAACCATGGCTTTCTACAGGTTACACAGGAAGCCACAGACTCACATTGGGCTGTATGCCTACAAACTAGATGGCACAGAGTTTGAGAAATATGGGAGTGTCAGGACAGTGCTTCCCAGGATGTGTCTGCCACACCTGGCAGCTGGGACAATCTCTAGAACAGAGGAACTGTTGGTATGAGCTCAGGAGAAGGAAACTGGAGTATGTGGGGAAATGCTGTTGTTTCAAAACGTGAAAAAGTGCTCCAGAAACAGTAGGCCTGTTTACTAAGAAAATATACCAATGCATTATGCTTTAAAAAACCTTTTATAAAAGGTATCTACAAAGCTGCATGGCTTCCCTGTTCTGCAGTACCTACATGCTGAAAGAAAATCCTGCAGAAAGAAAATCCTGCAGATGAGCCAGAGCTTGCAAGAAAAAATTGGTGCTTGAGCAGCAGTGTCTTAAGAGCTTTTCAGATGCCCTTAAAGAAGAGCTTGCTCAAGCTTTTAAAATCTCATTTATAGTGGATTTCAGTACTAAAGGTTTAAATTATTTAGCCGAAATTGACCTCATCCAAAGCTGCTGCTGGAGTGCATCGAGCTGTTGAGTATCTGTGTTGTTAACGTGGAGCTCACCCTCCACCCTGCAAGGGCTGACCTTGGCCTCCCCACTCCACTTCTCAGTGTGTTTGTTACGCTCCAGCCTGTGGGAGGTTTTCACTTCCCATGATCCATGTGCAGACCTGCACCCCCAGATGATGTAATGAAGACTGACTTATTGACTGGATTTATTGGGCAGTTCTGATACCCCAGTGCAAATACACAGGGTATTGTACCGTGGCCTGGCCTGTGATTATACATCTGCACTCAGGGAATCATTTGCCTTTGAAAATGCAGGCGACTGCATGCTTGTCAACACTGAAAGATGAGATTCTGGGTTAACCTGCACTGCTTAGGAAAAGCTTGTTTGAGATCAGTTCTGGCAAAAAAAATAAAAGGCAGGATCCTGAAGGTTGTCAGGCAAATGAGGAACATGGGGCAATACTCTCCCTTAAAGGACTGTGTGACAAATTCCGGCAGCCACATTAGGAAACTGATGAATTACCACTTACTGAATTGGCTTGTTCTCTTTAGTGAATTAAAGCAGAAATCTATCAGCTTGATTTCATAGCTTTGTAGAACTTAGAAATGCTAGCCTCCTCCATTTGCTAAATTTGCAGCCCTCTGTTTGAAAGGGTTCTGTTTGACTTTTTTTGCATTATAAGTATTCAAGGAGCACTGTGATTGCTGTTTTGTGTTTCACTGATTACATAGGTATTTATTTTCTTCTTTCTCTTGAAATGAATTGCTTTGCATTCACTAAAATATCAACAACTGTTTTGGCTGTGATGTCAAACTGGTTTGAAGTGAGCAGAGCACATCTGATCGCCCCTGAGGATTGCCTGTGGGGAAGATGTGGGAGGGAGGGCTTGTGTTTCCCCTTCCAGCTACTCAGCCGCCTACATGCCCAAATAAATCAGCTCCCACCCAGAGCTCTGAAGGGCTTCGTTTGCCTGTAGTCATTAGTTTTCCCTCAGTGACAAAAAAAGGCAGTGTTTTGATTGACCTTGACATGGGACTACTTTCCTGTTTTTCATTTGCAGTGCTCTCAAAACAGATAGCCCTGCACACCATGGTAAGGCCACAGACAGTACCTTGGGGGAAATTTTTCTGGCCAAAAACAAAGAAAGGGCAGCCTGAAAGGGAACTGTCTGCATGCTTAGTGCAGAAGTTGTTTTACTGCTTAGTCATGCTGGCCAAGGCTTTTCAAAAGGGGCCAGTGATGCGTGTAGCTAATCGAAATGACAGCAGACGGGGCAGATTTTCAAGAAATCCAAACTAATTTCATGTTAAAACCCTGGCTTGGCTTTTTATTAGGCAGCCAGTTGGAGTCACTGCTTCTGGAATGAAACCTCAGGGGCATCTCCTTGGGAATTAGAAAGCAGCTTCCTGAGAGGCCAAGGAAAACTCAGCTTTCCCTTAGAGTGGTGATTTTATCTTGTCCTGCATTGTATGGGGCTGTGTGGAGTGGCCCAAGAAATGGCTTTTCCCCTGAAGCAAAACAGTCCATGTCAGAAGGAGGAAGAAAAAGGGAGCCATGGATGTGGTTAATGGAGCATAAAGAGCCATTCCTGATGGGAGATGTTGGTCGTGGTTATAACAGAACTGGTTCCCACCCAGATTAAAACAAGGAGAAGTTTTCATCCCGTTTTCGTCCTAGGCACACCTGTAGCCCAAGTAGGAATGGCCTAAACCACCCCTAGAGCTGGTGTGGTTTAGTCTCCATCAAGTGTAATTCTTTCACAAGCATCAGGAGCAACAGGGTGATGCAATGGGAAGTCACTTCAAAGCTTTAAAAAATGCTCAAAAACATTAAAAAATTATCTGAATTCAATCACAGTAAGAGTGCTCTTGAAGGGGTCAGTATCCAGCCAGCAGAGAAAGTGTCTGTCTGGCCAGAGATATTTTACTGGATAAACAGCGATTCTGAAGCTCTACCACAGGCATTCCTGTGACCACCTCATGAAAGGCTGAATTACCTTTTTCTTTTCTTACAGTGGTTCTCTATCAGATAAGCGGTTTACATTTACTTCAAATGGTAAGAATAATTGCTTTGTTTTTGGCTATTTAAATATTTTCTGTAAAAGTTTTAAAAAATAATCAGGAGAATGTCAGGCTGTGTCTAGGAAGGATATTTTAGGACAGCAGTTTTTTAAAATTGGCAAGTGAATAAAAAAATTGAAGGGATGTGAAGTGAGCTAGGAAAAAAACACAGAATATGTGCGGTCACACACACATAGATGAGAAGCAGAAATAGTATTCTGCTGTTACATTTCTGGTGCCAGCATATGAAAAATGACAATCAGATAATCCCATTTTTATGTACTTTAGGCCACAGAAAATGAAAGCAGTTTTTCTTCGACATTTGTAATTTTCATCCTCATCATACAAGCAGAGAAAGAAAACATAGGAGAAATGAAAATATATTTATATTGCACTGATACAGAAGGAGTTTTTGTTTATGGCTTTCCAGGATGCAAAACCCTCTTTTCATCTGTTAAGCCATTCATTTGCATAAAACACGGCGGAGAAGGGGGAAAAGTTCGCATTCGTTCATTTGAATTATATTTCACTCATTTGAGATAAAATCATTTACTATTCTACTGAAAACTGTAGAGCATGTATAGGCCTTTGAATCTGCCAAGGAATTATTTTTAACTTCATTGAACCATATTCCACTGGCCTGTTTTCTCTGAAGAACCTTGATGTGCAGAGTCTTTGGTGGAGTTTGTAGTACTTACCCACAGATATTATCTTCATGATACCACATCTTGGCAGCAGTATCAAGGAGCTTCTCTAATGAGTAACTTTCCTAGCCCTAATTGCAGGTGGGAATCATGAAATATTTACAGTAAAGTATTCCTCTCAGTACAGTGCCTTCATCTGTGAAATGTTTTGTACAGCAGAATTAGTTAATGCCAATCTCAAAACATAAATATTATGTTTCAAAAGGAAAAATTTAAAAATAAAAAAAGTCTTCACAGGAATGAGACAAAAGTGCAGAAATTAAAAAACTAAATGGCAAAAATAGCAGATGTAGTCAGAAGGTGTCATGTCTGTAGGAGTTAGACTGGTAAAGGATTGGGACTGCAGCACTCTGGTACTGGATCATACACTACAAATTGACTGGTAAACACCACAGCTAATGGAGAGCATCAGGCTAGCACTAGATTCAGCAATGTCTGACTTTGCTGTTGTGGGTGGTCTTCAAATGTTGCTAGCCTAATATAAAAATATCCTGTGAAAATGCAAAATAACTCCTTCTGCCTGTCTGTGTGGGGACTCCTAGGCTGCAACAAATCTCTCAGTCTGGAAGAGGGATTCCTCTCCAAGAGCCAGGTTACTGCATCTTCCTACTGGGAGGAGACCAATGAGTTTGGGCAACTGCTCGTGTGGTCCCCAGACAAGGCTTGGCTACAAGTCCCAGGATGGTCTTGGGCCTCTAACCACAGCAGCAACCGTGAATGGCTGGAGATAGACCTGGGAGAGAAGAAGAGAATAACAGGTATGTCACTCTCTGGTTGCTAGAAATGGGTGCTTCAGCTGGAGAAGAAACTGAATGCAGCTGAAAAGCTGACAGTGCACTAATGCAACGTTCATTTTGTTAAATGTAATGAAATGTTCTGCACTCAGGCATATTATTTTCCTATTTAAAACATCATGGCTATTTACAAGACTGATCTTCCTGCGAGGATATAGGATTGAACTCAACTGTCATGCACATCTGATCTGTAAACATGCTGACAGAACACAATACTTGCACAGGGAGCAGTAGAGTCCGGGTGGATGATCAGGAATCAATAAGAAACATGAAAGTCACAGCCTTTGAAACAAGGCCTAGGTGAAAGAAATTCTTGTTCCCACCTCTTGGTTTAGTTGTAAAAATGTAAATTACAGTTGCTGCTAAAGATGGCCGATACAGACCATAATATCAAAAAACAATTTCCATTTTGGAGTCACAGAATCACAGAATGAGTAAAATTGGAAGGCACCACAGTGGGTCATATGGTCCAACCTCAAGCAGGGTGATCCTAGAGCACACAGCACAGGATGGTGTCCAGGTAGTTCTTGAGTATCTCCAGTGGGGGAGACTCCACAGCCTCTCTGGTCAGCCTGTTCCAGTGCACAGTCACCTGCACAGTAAAGAAGTTCTTCCTTCTGTTCAGGTGGAATTTCCTGTGCATCAGTTTCTGTCCATTGCCTCTTGTCCTGGTGCTTGGCACCACCCAGCAGAGCCTGGCTCCATCCTATTGACATCTCCCTTTTAAATACTGATGGACACTGATGAGGTCCCCTCAGTCATCTCTTCTCTAGGCTGAACAGACCCAGCTCTCTCAGCCTTTTGTGCTCTGTTAAAAATGTCCATTGCTCTAAGTTCACAATTTAAAACAGATTTCCATTCTTCACCCAACTTTTAAACTCAATTTCAACACAGTTTGAAAAATAAACTTAGATCTTGAAGGCCAAGTTTTCCAAATTGTTTTGGCTTCTGTGTTTGCATTTGAAAATGTTCCCTTAAAACAGGCACATAGCAAATTAAAATGTTTCTTGCTTTTTCTTAAAAGGGATTAAGACCACTGGTTCTGGATCCATGAATTTCAACTTTTACGTGAAGACATTTACAATGAACTATAAAAATAACAACTCAAAATGGAGAACTTACAAAGGGATTCTGAGCAATGAAGAAAAGGTAAGGGAAAGTGGGAAGGGTAGGAAAACACAAAACAATAATGCCTATGCTGACTTGACATTGAAGGGCAGGCTTTCACTGTCAGGAAAGATTAGGAGTTTCAAACTTGTCTAGACTTGGGCTGTCTTCACCAGTGTAATTTATGGCAACTGAGTAGATAGTGAGCTTGTCGGAACAAGGGAGTTATCCAGGGACTGGTGAAGCTGTGGGACACACACAGGGAGGTATGTGTATGTCTGCACCACCCTTCTTTTAAAAAAGCAGTGTAATTGGAGCTGTACAGCAGCTGTTGGGGCAAGTCCTCAGCTCAGTGTTTGCCTGTGCCAGGGATGCTCTTGGTATGGCACCAGCAAAGCTGAGGGTCAGCTCCAAATGCATCAGGATGGTCAGTTCACCTCCCCGTGCCAAATGAAACAACGCCTTGGGTGAAGGGCAGAGCTGCTGGTGGAGTTTGTCTGAAAACATTTTCCCCTGAGAACCTCGTATTTCCTTTCAAACAAAAGGAATCCCAAAAGCCTTCCTTCCTGTCTCCACAGTGTTCAAAGTCAGACCTCTGCTCATCATTCCTGAGGGATCTCAGCTAGCCTTTAGAGCCTAGAGAAGGCTCTTCCTGGTCCTCAGGCCTGATGGCAGTTTTTGAAAATTGGGCAGAACTGAAGAGAGATTTCCTGTTAGCTCTGATTTTCTTAGCTTGCATGGCAAGGAATTTCACTGCCCAACATTAATGGGGTTAATATTTTTTAAATTTATTTTTTATTTTTTTGGGCCAGGGGATGCTGTCCCAAAGAGTGGCAAATCAGCCTAGTAGTGGGTGAACTGCAAAGGCTAGCTATTTAAAATGTGCAGGCTTGCAGTTTCCCACAGTGGCTTGTTATATACAAATATCCTTTGAAAGTATTATATATGATCTTAGTTTCAATCAACTAAGGTGTATGCCAGAACCTGTCCCATCAGAACCCCATGTGGCCTGGCATTTTACCTAAGATATGCTGAGCTCATTTCTCTATCTCATCAGGCTTTTAAGTTTTCCTAGATCGTGCTGAAGCATCTCCAAGAACTAATATTGCAAGGACAACTGTTCTGCACAAGGGGCTGAGCTGATTCTGGGAAATACAGTATAAATGCAGTAACAACTGTGTAGTTAATAATCATTCTTCAAGCTTGACATAGAAAACTGACCATTTTACTAAATTGTCTAGAAATGGTGCACCTCAGTTTTTTTCTTTTAATGTTTCTATCCCCTATTTCCAAGAAAGGGTGCTGCAGTGCTCTTAAATAAAAAAAAATGATAGTGTTATACCAGCATACATTAACTGGAAATTACACAGTATTGAAACAGTGATAATCTTTCTCCTCTGAGCTAACAGAAAAATGTGATCATCTGGCACAACTAAAAAGATTATTTCTTTCAGGATTTGAAAACACTCAAATCCTAAAATCTTGTGGCTGAATCCCAGGTTATCAGTGTGTCAGTCTGAGGAAGAAAATCTTTGAAGTTGGATGTCAGGAGCACTTTGAAGACAGAGGCTTTTAAAGCAGGGCAGACAATGTGTGCACTTTTCGTTGCAGGTATTCCAAGGCAACTCCAACTCTGCCGACGTAGTGCGCAATAACTTCATCCCTCCCATAGTGGCCCGCTATGTGCGGATTATCCCTCAAACCTGGAACCAAAGGATAGCACTGAAGCTGGAGCTGATGGGCTGTCGAATAATGCCAGGTATGGGCTGCACAGTGCCTCTAAAGCCCACTGTGCTGCCCCAGTGCCACTGATGCCCTCTTCTCTCTTGCAGCCAACAGCTCGTTTACGCATTCAATGTGGCAGAAACCGAGCCAGAGCACAGAAACCTCCCTTGGAAAAGAAGACAGGACTGTTACAGAGCCCATCCCGTCTGAAGAAACTAACTTGGGTAACACTACCTAGTGCTGCATTTTGTCTAGGATGCATCATGTCTTCAGCCTAGTCTGAGCTAACTTTAAACTTTCTCACAAATCAAAACTTTTACTTTCCCTTCAGACTTTATTAATGACAGAGAGAAGAGGGAGGAGCAATAGGTTCTTTTTGTCTTAAGGCACAGAAAGAGATTGAAAGCCCTAATTTTCCTTGATGTGTTAAACATTGGGCTTTGGTTTCCCTGTCATATTGGTTGATTTGCCAAGCTTGGTGGGTGGCTCAAGGGAATACAGTGAGCACTCAGCAGCAATTTTTGGGAGAGTTCTTCCTCACTCTCATCCTGTATTTTAGAATTTTTTAGTATGTGAAATAGTCATCTCACGAAAGTGTTATCTTCTCTCCACACAACCATGACTCCTTCCAGAGCGAGTTCCCAGCTGAAAGCAGCACACACTAGTGCCTGATTGTGTAATTAAACACTCTTCCATAATGCCTGTGTTCATGGGGGCTCAGACAACCATAATCTGTGTAATTCTCCCTGAATTTTCAGTCTTCATCCTTTAATATTGTGGAGCTAACTTCTTAGACCCTAAAAAGCAAACAAACAAAATTTGGTGCTTATGCTGACTGTTTGGTGGGCTCATAGCTAGGCAGGAATTGCCAGACCCACTGTATCAAATGCTAGTACCCATTAGGTAGCTGATAGTTGTAGAGATGTCTCTATGAAAAATCTGGTTGTAACAAGCAATCAATGGAAGAAAAAAAAATCCTGAAGCTGCTTGCCAAGAGCAAGCAAGCTCAGTTCATCTGTGCAGTGGTATGAGTAAACCATATCCATGTTCAATGAAAATGAAATCTACTGAGATTTCATCTGCTGAATTGCAAATACCCTGTGGACACCTCTACTGTCTTATTCTCACAGCTGGCAAGTGTTTGTAGAAACAGAAAAAAAGCACACTCCTGACACAAGAGCCACTCCACTGCTAATTTTCAAATCCCTGCTCTAAAGCATGTTGTTTTAGAATTTAACAGTGGCTAAACAGGTTTTTCCCTAGGTTCCCTCGTGGAAATCTTTGAACTACTTTTACTGAAATGTTTCAGCTAGTTCAGCATGAGCCAGATACTTGGCATGTAAAATTACAGTCTCCTTTGGCAGATTTATAAGCAACTGCAAACAGAGTGTGTATGAGTGGCTTTTAAAAAGTCATCTAGTGTGCAATAAGAAAGAACTGCTCTTTGTAAGGATGCATATAGATGCCAAGTCAAGTGTAACCCTTGAGAAAGTCTTTTCAACTGTTTTGTTTCAACGTTATTCCACGCAGATACATACCATCCGACCACGGCTGAGGAGTGGTCTTCTAGTTTTACAGTTGTATATTTTCATGCTCTTTTCAAGAAGCATTCTTGCAGCATTATCTACCTTTTGCCGTAGTAAAAATTAGCAGCTTTAGAGTAATTTACCTTTAAAACTTTTATCCCTTCTTTTTTCTCATGCAGGTTTAAAGCTTACAGCTATAATTGTCCCCATCCTCATTGTGGTGTTTCTGTTCGTGTTCTCTGGAATTTGTATCTGCGCAGCCCTACGCAAGTAAGATACTGGTTTTGTCAAGGGAGACATTTGTGGGTACCTAGCTAGCATGTCCAACTCTGTGCCCTCTTTCCAGAGCCTCCTTACCAGAGAGCTAGGAATTAATCCTGTTTGTCAGTCTTTCTTTTAAGTAGAACTCACCTGTCCCTGTAAATTGTATTTCTTACCATATGCGTCCCCTAGTCAGAGAAAAATGAAGGTAAAGCAGGTCAGAACTGTGCATAACCAGCTGTTCTCTTCACCCTACACATAGCCACAAGCACTGAGGTGTAAAGCAGTCAAAGACAGGATACTTTCCACATCAAAGCCAAATAAAAATTCAGTGAAGGGAATATTTGAGCTATCTATCTGGATAATTTTGTTTTATTTCCCTCCTGTTGTGTTTTTGCTTCCCAATCCCTTAAGTTAGAGCACTTAACCTAGCAGGCTGAAAGCAGAGCTTGGCTCTATGGAGTCACACACACGCTGGTGTAAGCAGCTAAAACAAAGTGATTTCATCTCACAAGACTGAGGACTGGAAGAAGCACTGCTAACTGTGCTTCCTGCTAGATGCCCATTCCTATGAACCTGCAATTGTATGTTGAACCAAGAAATGCTTCTGTCAGCAGATGGGGATTTGGAAGTGTAAGCAATGCTCTGATGATGCTGCTTCATCACCATTAATGATCAGCTCTGCCCTGGATTCCCAGTAAATCTATAAAATCTATAAAATAGCCAAAGAAGAGCAGACCCAAACATAGCCCAAAGTGACACATAGCCATAGACACATCAAACTGATGAGTGCCAGCCCCAGAAATTTGAACACCAGCACTCACAGCTGGTGGAGAAAAAGAAAATGACAAAGTGCTGGTTTGCATGCCTGATGTTCTAGTAAACAGCAACCTCCAGGAACTTGAAGTGAAGCCTTGTTGTCCTCAGCCCCTAAGTAAAAAGGCTCTACTGGAGCTAAGGCATGAAGCTGAAATGCTGTGAGTACTGATGTTTATAATCCTTTCCTCTCCTTGCAGGCGAGAAGCCAAAGGACTTTCCTATGGATTATCCAGTACTCAGAAATCAGGTTAGTGGAGAATCATGCACTTTGTCGTGTCCTGTCCACTGGGCCAGCAGGAGGGGGTTTATACAACTAAGCATTTAATGCTTGTGGAATAGCATCCACATTTCCTCATTCAAATTCACCTCTTCATACAAGGGAAACAGCAAATGATAGTCCCACTTGTGTCATCCTAGCACAGTGCCCTGAGAAACAATATAATTTGGTTTCTATGACAGAAAGGCAATTAACAAAAGATCTATTATACAGAGTGCATAAATTAGCATGTAAGAGTGCTCCCAGGTGCCCTCCTTCTCCTTCCCACTTCCAAAATACCTATTTTGCAGAAAATTGCTGCTTTTCTTTTTTTTCCCCCACAGCAGAGGGGATTACCATTCTCTAAAAGAGCAATGGATAATAATTTTTTATGGCTTTAATATTTTCTTCTCACTGCCCTCCCTGGCTGAAATTGTATTTATAAAACTTAACAACAGTGAACTGTATTCAATGAGAGATTGGCTTGGGCACGCTGCTTTAGGAGATGACTGTGAAATCCTAATGAAGTATTTTCTTTGTCTTGCTCAATAACGTTTTCTAAAGTGGGGTTCCCATCAGCTTGGCAATTGGGGTGTTTTTCCTGGCCAACCAGTTCTGTAGAGGAATATCCGTCTGAAATTCGGCTTTCCATAAAAAACCCAAACCACTAAGCACTTCATATGTCTCTTGACAAGTCTCTTGCAATAGCTCAGCTCCAAAATTTCATCCCTCAGCAGGTGCTGACGTCAGTGAAAGGAATGCTGTTACCCACTGCAGCTCACCCTCATTAGAAAATTAATTTGTACTTAACATCATATTTGCTAATATGATTTTTCAAGGTCACATCATAATCCTTTCTCACTTGCTAATGAGGACAAATCCCAAGAAATTGGAGATAGCCTCTTACCCAGTCGGTTCATTTGTTGTATGTCTGCTTCATAAATCAAGCTCCTAAGCCCTTGTGAACCAGGCTTGGGGCTTAGAAAGCCGTGAGTCAAACTCACCTCTCCACAGACCTCCTAAAACAGGCTCCAGCAAGTCCCTGATACTGTGCATTTCTTTCTTTTCTGTCTTACAAGGATGTTTTGGGAACAAGTCAATTCATGAATGCAGGTGCTCAGATACCAGTGAAATGGAAGACACACTAATCTACTGAAAAAAGGAGAAATTTTAGGCATTATTTTTGCCACATATTCAATGCCAAAACATAACTGACTTAAAGTTGGTATTTTATCAGTATACTTTGTTAAGGCATCACTGTAGGAATCTACAGAGTTTGAGCCCTTCTTGCCAAAAAATCTTATATAAACTTGGAAATCCCAGTTGATGATTCACTTCTTCCTTCACCCTCCATATTTAGGGGACTTTTTTTAAACAAACAGCCCATTTTAGTCATGTTTTTTAACTATTTTAATATATTGACAGCAACGAGTATTCCAAAAATTAAACTTTCTCTTAAGTCTTATGATTCTAAGCATTTAACTTGCTGATAAGCCTTCTATTTTTATTTCTTTTTCATAGGTTGTTGGAAACAAATCAAGCAGCCCTTTACCAGACATCAGTCAACTGAATTTACCATCAGCTATAACAACGAGAAGGAGACACCACAAAAGCTGGATCTGGTCACCAGCGACATGGCAGGTAACAGCTGCTCCCCCTCAGATGCATCCCTTTAGCTCTGTGTGCAGAGCCAGCACCAGGGAGAGGGATGGCCCAGCAATGTTACAAGCTTCAGCTTTTATGCAAACTGAGGACCAGGAATAGATTTATTCATGTTCATCCCAAATTTATAGTGAAGTAGCTAAATATATTAGGGAGGGAAAGACACATTATTCTGGAATTTTGTTTTCTTGGAGTTGTTGGAAAACTTTCCTGACTCTGAAATAGTTACAGCTGAAGGTAATGATGGAAAGCATTTAGGCATGGATGAAGTGCAGAATGTGCCTAGGATAGGATTGGTTCCCTTTGCTGACTAATTTTTGTGTATCTATTTAAACACAAGTGTTTCTGGAAATGAAACAAAATACGATGCCCCTTGCTGCTGATCAAATAGAAAAATTTGAATATTTGATCAAATAGAAGAAGTTGGTTTATGGTGGGATTTCATGCCTAGCTGGAAGTTGTGCTGAGATACCTGTGCAGCTTTCTTGAACTCTCTGGGAGACAAAGCCTCCTGAAGAGGAGGCAGGTAGATGAGAGAGAAGAAGAAAGCCAACCACGGCACTTCTCTCCTGTGCTACCTTGGTTCCAGGTCACTGTTTGGATAGAGAAAATCCCAATGAAAGAGCATCAGTACTATTTGCATCCCAAAGGGATGATTTTTTAATTCATCCTCTTAGCACATCTTATCCCCGCCTAGTCTAGTCTGTCTGGTAAGACTAGTGAGACCAGCCATTTCATGGGATCAGCACTCTTGAAGAAAGATTAGTTTGCTGTTTCCAGCCTTCAGATCTTAGAAATTCCTTAGAATTTCTTCATTGTGTTTGGCAGAGAAATACATTTTAAAAACAAATGGATGGTTACTGTAATTCCATATGGTGCTGCTCTCAATATCTTTCAAAGACAGTTTCAATCTTTTATAGAAACTTCCAATATAAATACACAGAGACCTATAAAGCAGTTTTAAGGAAAGAGAATGAATAAAGGTTGCTCACAAAATCTGTTTGGTTATTTGGTTCCCTGGCCATGTCTGGGAAGTCTTTGCTCCCTCCACCATCCCCTCATGCTGTGTTTGTGGGAAGTCTGAGCTCTCAGCCTGGCTCAGGCATATTCCCAGCCTTACCATTTCACCTGCAGTCTCCTTAGAAACAAAAACCATGAAATAAGAACGTGAATGCAACCTAGAAATGTGCCATTTAATAATTTAATTGCAGGGAGCACACGATTTGCATATAAGTTATCATGCTACATGGAATTCCCTCACTTCAGACCCCCAGCTGCCTGCTGGATCCCAAAGGCAGCCAGGAGGAAGTCGAGATGCTTCATCCTGAGCGAGAGAGATTTCTGGGGATGGCAGCAGTGATGCTGGGGAGAGCTGCACTACTTACTTAGTGAAATATCATAACACCTTCACCCTACATGCTGAAGTTTGGGACACAGCCAGAAACTGCCAGAAAGATTCACAGGACATATGGGATCGAATTCGACGCTCATGTCAGATGAACTGCGATGCCAGAACAGAAACCGAGCTAACTTCTTCACGCCTGCATGAAAACACGATACTTTAGCAGTGTCACTTACTAGAGCTGTTCAGGCCACCGTATGTATCTGTAAGAGATTGTCACCAGCGCCAAAGCGAGAAAGTTACAACGTTCACTTTTCTCATAATAGTGTGACTTGTTTTTTCAGAAAACCTTCTTGTTCAGATCTCCTCACACGGCAGCCTGGCTCCTACCTTAACTGGAGGTGCAAACATGTACTTCTTGAGGCTCTGTTTCCCCCATCTTACTCCCTGCTCTTGCCCAGGCCGTTTGCCTTAGGCCAGCTCTATCCCTGCCATCCCCCTTGACTGGGTGACTGCCCAGTGCCTCCGGCAGCACCATTCCCACTTCTCCCCCCAAGCTCATCCCCCTGGCAAGCCTGCAGCCGTGCTGAGCTGGCTTAGCACATTTCACACTTCCATTGACTCTCTTGGCTGCCGTTTTGCCTAACTTCATCCTTCTTGTCAGTCAGCTACTGTGAGATGCCTTTTAAATAAAGCTGGCTTGTTAAGAATCCCCTGGGCATTTTAATTATTCCAAAAGTGGAACACTCATTTTGGAGAACTTCTCACTTGTGGATCTTCACGCAATGTCCTTTGTCCAGTTTGTTGCTAATATTTTGTTGACCTCACTCTTTTTTAGGGCTTTCAAGTATATTCCAGAAATGTTAATTTATTTGGGAAGGTAGGTAGGGATAAGGGAGGGAGGGAGTAGAAAAAGAGGTGGCAGATTGGAGCTTCTCTGTGGAAGAACTTCTGCCATGTTCTGCAACTCTTGCTCGCTGAAGGAGGTTACAGGATCGGTGTTGGGGAAAGGTTTCTTCGCATCCCTAATAACCACACATTTTATGCAATAACAGAGTAGTTTTTCAACATAAAATACCTATGCTAAGTATTATATATATAAGATAACCAATCTATGCCTTATTGAGCATTTCATGCTTCCTTTTAGATTATCAGCAGCCTCTCATGATCGGAACTGGGACGGTAACACGTAAAGGATCTACTTTTCGCCCCATGGACACCAAAGAGGAGGGAAAAAAGGGGAGTTCTGAGTTCGAAAATCACTATCACTGCCCTCACAGAGCTAACAGGCACGAATATGCTCTGCCCCTGACCAGCCAAGAGCCTGAGTACGCCACCCCCATCATAGAGCGGCACATAGCAAGAGAAGGTAATTTCCCCTCTGAGAACGGCTACAACGTTCCTGTCGCCTCATCTCAGATACATTCCCTTACTGCTGGCAGCTTCTCCAGCTCTTGTAAAACCGACACCAGGAACGGAGACTATCAGACACCCCAGAGTGTCATAAACTATGACAAACCCAAAGTTAATGGTGTTCTGACCTCCGTGAGCTACAGCACAGACTACCAGAAGCCCCAGCAAACTGCTCTGGGGGGCGAGGGTTACTCCACGCCCAGGGACTGCCTAAAGCCCATAAGCCAGACAGCAATGACAGCTCTCTTGTGATTTGCCGAGCAGGAGCGGCACGGTGCGCAGGAACGTCGCTGCACAGCTCTCTGAAGTGAAAACAGAGTTTGGAGGGACTCTGCTGTGGGAGGCAGAAGGCAAACAAGCCCTGTGTACATAATATTGCTGTCTTGCTGGGTTCTGACATCTGAAGAAAGCATATGCTGTTTATCACTGTTTATAGCAAGAGAGATGTTATCAGTGAAGACTGTACATCTTATTTTCTGTAACTGATCTCAGTGCTCCATTTGCAATGTGTGCAATTTGTACATAGCTTTTATTTAAGGAGAATTTCTTAGGTTTCCTTTTCACCTGGGGGTTTGAAAGGATTGCAGGAATGCCTATTTAAGAAAAACAGTCCTCTTTTTCTGTCTTTATCTTACCTGCTGCTGTACTGGCAGCTGTAAATGGTGTATCTTATGGTTGTGTTGATTCATCTCCTTTCCTGTGATAACTGAAGATAGGGCTGTAGTTTTAACTGGGAGGATAGAAGTTAAATTATTTTCTGCATAATGTGCATGAGAGAAGGCAGCTGAATATTTAAATACTGTGCTCAAACACAACTTCCCAGCTGCTTTTTTAGCAGCAATTTTCACATGCTTGAATTTAATCTAGCATAAAAGCTGAGCCCATCAAACTTGCAATTCATGTTAGAAAACAGGTAGAAATGCTGAAACTGGTTTTGGGCTCAAGCCATGGTTATCACTCCACAACAGGGAAAAAAAAAAACAAAAACCCAAACCAAAAAAACAAACAAAACAAACCAAATAACATATCCAATCAGTTAATCTGGGGAAGCGCTTTTAATTTTTTTTTTTATTTAGGAAGTGTGTGTGTAACCAAAATGTGAATTTACAGCTGAGAATTCAATGCTGTTCAAGCCCTAGCTAATTCTTTTGCTGCTGAAATATAAGGAAATTTGTTCCTTGGCACAAAGCAGCAAACTTCCTCAACTCCTCATTTCTCCACTAGGTATTTTTCTGTCTTACAAATTTAGTGTAACATTTCTGTTAGAAGTATTTCAACTAACTGAAACATGGTGTGTGTATGGGTTACTGTTGCAGTTAAATTTGTGAGACAGCAGATCAGCCCTGTTGTTTCTCCGATAGTTTTTCTTTTGCAGCTAATGTTTCCCATAGTTCCGTTTTCAGACAAACTTGAAAAAGCTTGGGATTGGGTGCAATGTATCGCACAGCAGCTGGCTCCTCTTTCAGCAGGGGCAGCCTTGGAGCAGAACAGCTTCTGGTTGTGACTGGGACCGTCCACTGCCCTTCTACCTCCAGTGCTTGGGGCATTTCTTTGAATTCAAAAGCTTGTCCTAAAATGTCAAGAAGCTATATACTTCTGTGAAGAAAGAATGGTGCTATACTCAAAGCACAAGGTTGGGAAACGAGACCAGTAAAACCTGAGCTCTGGGAAAGTCGCTCTTTGAAGGCCCTCCCTTTATTTCCTTGTATATAAACGGGATCATTTGCAAAGGATGCAACGGAAGATCGATCGGAATGCTTTCGGATCTCTGGGTGGAAAGTGCTGTTAGAGGACAGGCTGGTTGCAGTGGTACTGCTCACAAATACTGCTAACTCCAGCCAGAGCCGGACTTAAGGCAAGCTCTGAGTGGGTTCTTTGCATACCCTTGTTCTGCGGCCTCAGGTGGTGCCATTCCCTGCACTGCCGCTCCGTGCATGCGATTCCCGTGCAAAGAAGAAAGAGTCAAGGTAACCTCGTAGCCTTCCTGTGTTTGCTGTCAATACAGTTTCTGTGAAATGTCTAAAACACCTCAGGTCCTGAAGTGAAACAGCAGCAGCCTGTTTGTTAGACCGAGCTGGGCGGTGTTGTTTACCTTCTGTTGTTTACATGTCTGTGTAAATAAAGAACACTGGTATTTGTAAATCAGCCACACGGGCCTGCCACTTCACTGGGTGACTCGATCGTCGCTGCACGCCCACTCCCGCCACATACCCCGCGGGGTGAGAAGGAAGTGTTCCTCACGCCCTGCAAAGTGCCAGCTGCGCTGCTGCAATTCACGGCCCCACTGTGACAGGCTAAAAAAAGATCCTCTCAGTGCCCCATTTAGCCCAGATTTTCTGTCCATAAGCTCTAGAGAAGAACCCACAAACAGACTCCTGCGCCAAACGCCGCTGCTGGATGCGTATGATTGAGGAAAGGATGAGGATGCCCTCCTGATGAGCTTGAAACCAACCCGCTGCCCACACAACTCATTAGCCTGACTTGTCACTTGACAAACAAGTCAGTAATCAGGCCTACTCCCCACCTAATGAGGCAGCTAAGTAACGCAGCAGTGCAAGAGGACCAGGCAGCAGATGACACTACTTGTATTATAATGAACTTTTTGCATATTTCTGCTACATGCTTGGCACATCTGCAGCATGGTACAAGTGTCAAAAGCTTCTTGGCAGCATCTGCCCATTTCTGCTGTCATTCCAACCCATCTTAACACAGCTGATTTAGCCTAATGGAAAGTTTGGTCTCAATTTGCACCTTGCCTTCACCCCCACTCCCCTCAAAAGAAACCCAACAAACCTGCAAACGTGGCTTAAAATAGGTCACCAAACCTCTTCAGCCTCCCTTCACAGCAGCTTAGTGCTGACAGGGACAGAGGCAGCACATCTCCTGGTCACTGCCATGGTGCTTCATGGTTCACATCTGAGTGACTGCTGAGCGTGGTTAACACTAAAAGCCTCAGGCCTCTCCACCTTGGCCTAGGAAATTTTTAGCAATCCTAGCAGCAGATATACAAGGGAACTTCCTATCCTACGTCTCTGTACCCTCATGGTGGTAGAGATACAAAATCCTGGTGTAGGAATGAAAGAGGATTGCCTGAACCTTACCAGTGCCAGTGACCATCCTCATGTCCATCCTCTGAATGGCTTTTTACATACTGACACATCAAACTCCAGCTTCTCTATATCAGCCTGTCCTCACTGCCAAAACCAGATGCAGGTATAGCCTAGACAGCCTCATAAAACATTGCAGGTTTAAAAACCTTTGTTCCACAGTGAAGGTTAGAGTATGCACCATTTTGGGATATTTCCACACTCAGAAAGCCTGTTAGCTCTGGATTTCTCTCCAGCATCTCTAGAGATGGTGTGAGAACAGTCTGATCCTCCAGTCAACAGACTTATAGTGGTGTTTTGGTACCAAACTTCTTCCCCGAGCAGGCAGTCCCAATGGGTTAGAATAGTAAAGCCAAGTCAGAGTCCACAAGAAGGTTAAATATTAACTGCTCCTGGCACTTAGGACCTTCCTGTCCCATTGCTGTTGACAGCAAGTCGCTGACTTTGCTGGGAACAGGGGATAAGCTCTGTAACTGCAAGTCTGACCGAGGAAACCAAAGGAGGTGGCTCTTGAGGTAAGAAAGTGCAAAAAATGGTGTCAGCTACCTACAACTCAAACTAAAAAATGACAGCATGCATTTCAAACTGGTGCCTTATATTTAAAACATAAAAAATTTACAAAAAAATCCCAACTACAACAAAGGTTCCAAAAATACCACAGCAAAACCACAAATTTTCTTTGCCCTGACCTCCTTAGACTAGCAAATAGATCACAAATTCTTATTTCTTCTATCAAGAACCTTTCTAATGCTCAATACAAAAACATTTTTTCCTATCACGTGTAATTCTAAAGAGCATTTTTTTATTACTTTTTGTTCCTAAACATCAGATATTAAACCTTACCTTAGTACCTACCATGATCTTTACATCCAACAGGCAATAGATTAAAATCAGCCCTAGACTGGAATAAGGATTTCTTGACTAAGGGTATATCGTGGTTAGACCATCACCTGCTCTCTTTTTATGATCTTTGGATCAACAGCCTGGCCTCACCTCCCTCTCCAGACACCAGGCACAAGATGGGTTCAACCAGCTCATCAGCCCTCTCATTACAGCAGTCTGCAGAGATGGGGGCAGGTTGCCCCGAGGCCCATCTGCAGCCCTGGCATCTGAGGAGTACTGTGAGCACTGAGCTAAAATGGCAGCAGTCACAGCAGTGTCTCTAACACCTGTGTGTGAGTGACAGATCCTTGCCTCTTTGTTTTGAAAAAACACAGGAGGTTGGATTCCAATCATTAGAAGCAGCTTGTGAATCCAATGGCCGGTCTGCATTATTGGCATGGCTAAAACCTGGGAAGATTAAATTTTTAATACAGCCTTCCATCAGATTTTTCCCACTGACTGCAGAAAACTGGCAGTCCTTCACTCCATGGGCAGATTTTAGTGGTACCCTGTCTGAAGCACAAAATATTCCCTAGACAGGATGGGAATATCAGGCTATAGATCCCTTTACAGGAGCAGATGCCTAACCGTGCTTACCTGTTTGGTAGATCACTGTCATTGAAACAAAAAGTGAAAAAATGAAGAGAGTTCTAAGAAGGGAGTCTGTGGTCTCACAGCAGTCCTGCAGGATCACATCCCAACTGAAAAGTAACCTTGTAGAAATCTGTCTGTATTCTTCTGTCCACCCTCTCTCCAAAATCAGCAAGTGAGCTTCTTAAGGGCTCCCCAGCCTGTAATCAGGCCAGACTGAAGGAATGACAAGGTTATGTTGTTGCATTCCTTTTCCCTTATTATTTTCCATAATAAAAAATTGCACGCTGCCCTTTTCTTTCCAATGTCAGCTATGATGCAAGTTTGTACTGACCTCCAGCCTCTGCTGTGATTAGTACAGTGTGAAAGCAGAATTTGCCATTTCATTTGAAACTCATCAGCGTTGTTGATACCTACATTGAAAATTACCCTGCCATAGCTGTGTGGGGTTAAAAGACCACCATTGCAATGCCTATGAATTATTGAAGATAGAGTGAGTTTCACAGAACATACCTATTTAAAAGGAAGGTGCCATTTCTGCACAATCAGTTTCAAACTTAAAATAGAAACCTCTCCTGAGGGCTTCCTTTTTTTGAAGCCCCCTTCCTCCCCCCGGTACAGTCCTACAATCCATTAAGGACACACGACAAGGAGTCAGATAAGTATTTCTGAACTAGATAAAGACAAGAGGGAAGACATCCTTAGTTGGAGAAAATTCATGCTACCCGTGATAAGGAGGATGCCTCACATCTGCTTTCTGTGCTATCTCATAGTATAGTCTGGGCATGAGGATTTGGAGACTTTTCGTTCAAATGTCACCAATTTGTTTAGGCTTTGCCTCACATTAAGTGGCTGTAAGTTCTGAAAAACCTTTGCAATCTACAGTAGGCAAAGGTTATTTGGTAACCTCTTGTCCTAGGCTGAGTTAATTCATTACTTAGACACTCACAACACAGCTACTGCTCTGCCATGTGACATCCAAGAGATTATCATCCTGTTTATTGTAAAGTCACAAGTATAAAAAAGAGAAATCCAGGAAGGAGACAATCAAGTTAAAGCACAACACAATTTTTTACCATAGTAAAAAATAAAAGTCAACAAATATGACATAGTAATGTTACTAAGGCATTTGTAACCTGAATAATCAACCTGAACAGACCTCAAGAATTCGTAATTTTGACTAGACAGAATTTTTTTAACAGACTTTACTGGAAAAGTTCCCTTAATGTATTAATAATCTTCATTATTGGCTAACCCGAAGAGGAACAATACCCTGAATACCCAGCATTTCCTTCTACTAAATCTGAGCTACCAAAAAGAATGAGAAAACGTACAAACATAAATTATTCAAAGCTTGTAACATTTTCTCAGCCAAATCAGATGACAACAGACAATAATAGACTTTGAAAACACATGTATGTTGCCTACTAGAAGGCAGGCAAAAAGGTAGGGAGTGAGCCAAAATTTTAGCTTAAAAGAAACACCAAGACCAATTTAAAACAAACAATATAGAAACACACAGCAATGCGTGATGCCTGAGCCATGACAGAGAGCTTTATCACAAGTCCTCCTCCATGAGGAGTGGCAGATAACAGAGAAGATGGTGATGCTTGCCATAAAAAAGGGAGAGAAAAGACCCAGAAAGACTGGGTATTACCCACCACCCTGCCCCTGGTCTGAACACCCCATAGCATATACTAAAAATCAGTCTTTACAAATGTGTTTTCTGCATCTTAATTTCTCTGGCCCAGGCAAACACCATTTCACAGATGGGCGAACTGAGATAGACAGATATACTGCCACCTGTCCAGAGCTGTAGCAACAAATCAAACCTATCAAAAAATGCAAAGGCCTCTGAAAACACCAACCACAAACCTGTGAAAAGTCCTCTGTCAAGCAGGGAAAACAGGGGTGATAAAGACTAAGACGAGCTAGCAGACCTCACTTGAAGAGGCAGCTTTTCTTCACATCTATGGCTAAGCTTTTTATCCTTAAGTGACACCATCTGTTCTGACAGACAGTTTTATAAAATTTGAATAAGGTGACCTGGATAAAGCATGCCTGTTATATGGAAATGCTGGTGTCATACGTGGATGTGGAAAGGTTGTGGATGGTTCATGCATCAAGTGCTTTCAGCATCTCATCATAAAAGGCCACACAAGCCTTTTCTGACACACCACAACACAAAGCAAGCCATGCTTTTGATAACAATGCTGCAGTAAGTTTTCTACTATCTTACAAAGACCTTGCAGATGGTATTCATACTCCTTTAAGGTAAGTATTCATATTTATAGGTAAATTTTTAACATATAAAGTCATGGTCCATCTCCCCCCTTTATAATACAATTGCATCACTGTACAAGGACCAGCACCAAGGACATAAATATGTCTCTGCTGACAGGTCTATTGATCACCTGGTTATGACAACAAACAAGGTCTGCAGACTGGACTATCATTTGGTGGTCTCTGGAAAGGAGCACCAGTAGAAAAAAGACAATGGTGGGTCAACATGAACTGAACTTCCTCTTTCTCCAACCAAGATGCTTCTGTCTGAACCTGGACTAG